GATCTTTTAATGTATTTGTGATTTGGCTGGGATTAAAAATATTCGCGGTTTAGTGGAAATTTTCATATTTTTTACATAAAAGTTAGGGTCTATTTTATTATTGTCCGATGGCCGCCCAAATCGGTAGGTTTCTGCCCAGTCCTAAACTCTAACTCCATGTACATTTTCGCGTCGATTGGTTCATAATTGTAGCCTATAGAGCAACTGCAACATCATGAAAATTTTCTATTTTTGTTCCATTTCAACCCCTAAATATCGTGCGATCATTGCTAAAAAACAATAGGATTCTATTTTGACCCTAACCCCACCTCCATTTTCAATTTCGTGAGGTTCGGGCCATAATTGCGACCTGTAGCTGGATTAGAAATTAACATGGACAGATAGACAGACGGACGGACATACAAAGCTAGATCGACTCAGCTCGGCAAGATAGGAAGATCCACATATACTTTCCAATGTGGAAAAACAAATATTTCGAGGTGTTACATAATTTTTGGCCCAATCAAACTTATAATACCCCCAACATATGTTGTAGAGTAGGGTATCAAAAAGCAGACTCCGTCGATTATATCTTGTTTTGTTTTGGCACTCGCCCTTCAATTTTTCAGTAAAGTAAAGATGAGCAAAGGCGATTATAAATGTGAGAAAACTAAAAAAAAAAACAAACAAACCCACAAACAATACGTTCTTAAATAATACATTTGTTTGACGGTTTCTGTGATGTCCTTGTTTATAGTTGAACTTACCAAAAAAACATAAAAGACAATGGGAGGATATTTCCAAAGAAATAAACACGAAATTCACAGGCGATTGTTTACATACCTAAAATGAGATAAAAAGAGATAATGGAATGAATATTTAAGAAGAATATTGTCTATAGCTTAAAAAGAGAATGTGTGAGTGTATGTAAGTAGATTATTTTTGTTTTATAAAATACAATAATCACGACAAAGAGGCAGAGAAATAGGTAACAAGATTATTATCATAAATGAACTTTGACGTAGTTACTACGTCTTGTGATTTTGACAATTCCTTTGTTGATGCCCAACAACTTTTGTTTTGAATCCCTTAAAAAGTCCCCTCGGTGAAATTAAAGTTTTTTCGTTTTTTTTTTTTTTGATGCCTTCAAGGGCCACCTAATTTACTTTCGCATGAAAACTTTACCCGAAAAAAAAAGTTTTAATGAAAAACTAAACGGTGTGAATGCTGCCACCATAACTATTATGATTTTCTCTTTTTTGTTTTGTTTCCAAAACAAATTTCATTTTAGTTTTACATTTCCGCTTAACTTGTGGATAAAATATTTCTCAAAATTAGATTAGTGAAATGAGCCGTGTGTATGTGAGGTGAGGGGAAGTGAGCGAGTGAGCGCGAAACAAAACTCATGCAGTTTAGATTTGTTGGGAGTGAAAAGTTTTAATGGATTCTTGTTTTAATTAATTCAGTGGAAATTGCAGGAATATGAAATTATTCATTGCCAAAACAGATAATGGAAAAAATGTAAATGAGATGAATTGTTCTGTTGCTGCTGCTGTTGTTCTTGCTATTGGTTTTCATGCTAAAATATCAGGAATAGCTGAAGATGAATTTTTCTTTTAAGCTAATGCTTAAATGCCATGAATAATATTTTAAATTCGAAAATAATTGCTGGCATTTAGTTTTTGTGTGGTGTTTTTTTTTTTTTTTTTTTTTTTTTTTTTTTTGGGGGGGGAAATGAATTTTTGATGCGAAATTGAATGAAATTAAAAAAAAAAATAAGAAAACAAAAATAAATCATTCTTTTAGAACGGTGAGATTGATATTTCAAGCGTCTATAATAAAAGACAAAATGGGCTAATGTCGCTAGCCAAAAGACCTCCATTCTGATGAAAAATCTATGAAAAAAATTGAATCTTAAAGGTCTTCAAATGAAAAGATTAATTTTTCTCCATTCCTTTATTGAGTTTCAGTAGACAAAGAATAGCCGCTTATCCCGAAGACAGCCAAAACTCGGTTGGAAGATCTATAATTTTGCAATGAATTTTTCCATGGTGCAGGGTTAGGATTGGAAAGGCCAACTAGGACTTGCAATGGAAATTTTTTCCATTTTTTTGGTAGATGAGAAACAAAATTGACCTTTTTTAAGCATCGCCAAAAGACGTATGCAAGGTGGAAGTCCTAGGGCTACCTTTTTGCCATATTTTGTATATTTTACATGGACAAATAATGACACCAGCTTATAATTAGGTATTTCCTTTGTTTTATACCAGTAGTCAGGAGGAGCATCTAAAATGTTACTGATCGAAATAAAAAGTAGGGCAACATATTCTTTGGGATGAAATTCATATATCGGTTCTGTTTCGAAGGAAGCACCCTACCTACATCAAACTTCGAACATCACAATATTTTTATCAAACTTAAATGGTATTCGATATTCGCTAATATCGGTCCACTTCTTTTGGTATCTTCCATGCAAACGGCCAAAATTTTTACACAAGTCTGCGTTTTTAGCTCTACTTTCAGAATCTGCCGGATTTTTGTTGTTTGAAGACGTATTTGTCGAAACAGAGTTTTCGTATTTTTCTTTTTATACGCTCCACCATTCTATGGAGGGTAAATAAGCTTTGTCATTCCATTTGTAACTCCTAGAAATATTCATAACAGACCTTACAAAGTATATACAGGGTGAGATAAAAAACTGCAACAAAGTCAAACGGCATAATTTTAACATCTTTTTATAAATTTTTTGAATGAAAGCAAAAAACGTCGGAAATAGCATACAATTTTAGAATAAGTTTGATTGGTTCGAATTGGTCACCTTTGGCACGAATTATGGCCTTCAAACGGCCAATGAAACCGTCACGCGCTGCCCGAATATTGCTCTGCGGTATTTTAGTCCATTCTCGACGAAGCACTTGCTTGAGGTAATCGACACTTTGGTATTTTTTAGTGCCAACCTTGCTTTCCAAAATACTCCAGACACAATAGTCCAACGGATTGGTATCTGTAGATTTGGTGACCATTGTGTGCTCGAAACGCAGCGAGAACCTCATTTTGTAACCATTCTTGGGTGGCGCGTGCTGAGTGCGATGGTGCAGGGTCCTGTTGGAATGTCCAAGATCTGCGGCCAAAATGTTTGCGTTGGTGTTTGCGCAAGGCTTTAATACACCCTCCAGAGTATTTTCGCTATAATATTCGGCATTTATTCTGATGCCACGGTCGATTAATACGAGCGGAGAGCGACCATCGACTGTTATGGCGCCCCACACCATCACCATGAGTTCTGGTGGCCAACCGAAGGGGCACATTTTAAGTCGACCTCTTTGGCAACTAAACACGAACTACTGGACATCGAATCTTTTCTTTTCGGAGAAAACCAAATTCGGCAGTTCACTACTTTCGGCCAAGTGAAACAACTCTTTAGCTCTTTTGAGTCCATATTCTTTCTGTTGTGGTGTAAGTTCTTGCACTTTTTGGAATTTCAATGACTTTACCCCGAGCTCATTTTTCAATATTTGACGAATGGAATATTGCGACATGTGTTTAGCTCACGAGCCATTTTTCGGCCACTGCGATGCGGGTTTCGATCAAGTCGCTTCTTTACTTTTCGAACATTTCTGCTGATTTTGCTGTTTTCTTCCGTCCACTTCCTTGACGTCGGGCTACGCTACCACTATCACGGTAACGAACGATGTTATGAGACACAAAAGATTTATTCCCATTTAAATGCTGGAGTGCTCTAACGATAGCCACTTGTGGTTTTCCAGCCAAATACAAAGAAATCGCAATATTACGCTTGAATTCCATCACGAATATCTATTTTTTGGAAAATTCTCACCAAATGCTTTTATTCGCTTCTATACAATATAATGAGCTGTCACTGGAATAATTTTAACCGCTGCCGCACGAGTGGCTTAGAAATGACTGCAGTCTGGTTGCAGTTTTTCGTCACATCCTGTATATTCTGGATCTGAGTAAAATTCTAAGACGTTCCAGCGCCGTCCGTCTGTCCATCTGTCTGTTGTAATGACGTTGTCTTTCGAACGAGTTGAGTTCGTAAATGGGCCATGTCGGTCCACGTTTTCTTATAGCCCCCATAGAACGGTACCTCCTGATATTCGCTATTTTCATGATTTTACCGACATTATTTACCGGAATTATTTCAAATTTCGTATTTGAAGTTCGTGATGGGCTCTACGGCATATGGCAAAAATTTGTGGATAGACCCATATAATGTAACCTCCCGATAGTCGGTATTTTGATGATTTCAACGACATTTTTAAATGGAACTGTTTCAAATTTCGTATTTGAAGTTCGTAATGGGTACTACAGCATATGGCAACAAAGTTTTCAATTAAGTGACAATTTTCGGATTTTTTTTTTGAAAAATTTCAAGTTCCTTCCAAATGATGGAGGGTATTAAAAGTTTAGCCAGGTGAACTTAGTTGCTTTTTTAATTGTTTGTTTTGTTTTGACGTCGTGAAGATTCAATCCAACGATCTAAGCTTTGTTGTCCGACATTTTATTCATTTTGATATTTTCTAAGACATTTTGAGAATCATTTTTTGAATAACTTATTATTTTTGGATTTAGGTGGAACGCTTGACTTTCTTTTTAGCTTGTACTGAAAGTGGCACAAATGTCTAATAGATTTTCTTGCAGGATAAATTGGACATGTCTTTACAAATATTTTCAATCAATCATTTCTTTTTAGTTTGCATTTGATTTTTTCCATGCATTTGATTTTGCTTAGGAATACATTTCATTTTATATCATATAACTTATGGCTGGAGGTATGTAGGATTATGTTAATAGCATATTGATAATGCAGATGGTATATAGTTGTCATTATTTTTAGGCCTACTGGTAATGTAGAGAGTATGTAATTGGTTGTGCGAAAGTGACGCCTATCAGATTTTTGCTAGATGAGTTTTTGTGCAAAAGTTATTAAGTGAAATTTTCAAACCATTCTCAAAGTAGAACCCCAAAATCAACAGTCAACCAAGAGGTCAACGAGGTGATGGAATATTGAAATATCTAAACAACTTTATTAAAACTTCAAAATTAAAAAAAAGAAATCAAAAAATTAAATTATTTAATATCACGAAAAACTCAAAGGCCGTATTTCATTTAGCAAATCTCGAATGCACGAAATCAATTTAGGATTTTTGCACCTCAAATCTGTGGCAGCTGGATACATGGAATTGATCAGATGATGTAGGTCGGTATAGGTCTAAAAAGAAACCGAAATACAAAATTTTCATCCATAACCAAAGAGACCCCCAAACACCTACACCAATATTTCGCCACGTATTGCTATACTGCAACTTAATGACATCCAAATCATCTGAACACAATTCCGTAATTTCAACGAAAAATGCCTCCTCAGGGGTAATGCGCACCTCCACCATATTTTCGGGCAGATCTTTGTACTGTTCAAACTTCAAAATTATGTCACGTCTCTTGGCCAAACGATTCCATTGAGAAAACTGGAATTTCATTTGGGTGCTATGGATGGCCATGCAACAATAGCTATGCATTTCGGTGGCTAAATGTTTTTCAGAAAAATATCCTGGAAAACGAAAATATGGAAAGTAATCAAATTTATTAATTTGAAATCTGCTTTCCCACCATTTTCAATGTAATAGCATGCATCATGTTCAGCGAAAATATTCAAATAATTTTCTTTAAATATTTTCTTGAACTCCTTATAGTCTTTCATCGGCTTCTCAATAATTAAATACATTTTGGGATTTCGTACGAATTTCTTTGTGGGTTCGGTAACATGACCCCTTATGCCATTTGGGGTACAGTACAGCACACAGCGAACATATTGTGTTTCGAGGGTGAAAATCACCTCATTATCGGGACTGAAACGGCGATTCGGATAAAGGTTATTACTTTTCTTTTCGTAAAAAGAATGAAGGATGTGGGAAAAATTCTTACTCTTCTTGGCTAGGTTCCAAACTCCAATATTTGAAAGGAAAATGCTCATAACGCTTAAAGGCGAACCCGATATAGCCTGAAATTTGTAATACGGAAAAATATTCAAAATATGTATGATGTGTCTGACGGGTTGATTAACTACCAACAAATTAATTAACAGGATTCCCCTCTCTGCATTACATGGTAATGACAAAAACATATTTTCTGCTCTACCAGCAGACCAGTAATAAAAACAACTACATACATCACGCATTACCAGTAAGTCAAAAAACAATTCGGTTAAATTCCTTATTTTCACCTTTTCGCATATTAACCTTGTGCTGGCGAAAAACTATTCTATGAGAAGCCGTTTGGATCGTCTTGGAAAAGACCTTTAGGTATTCTTGGACAATACATTTGGGCCTTCTATTAGAAGACCTTCGGCTCTTCTATGAGAAGACATTCGGCTCTTCTGTGAGAAGACCTTCGGCTCTTCTATGAGAAGACCTTCGGCTCTTCTATGAGAAGACTAGTGGACCCAACTGGTCTTCTCTGAGAAAACCAATTTGTCCTCTATGAGAAGACCAGCTGATCCACTGCCTCTGGTCTTCCATGAGCAGATCTTCTGCTCTTCTATGAGAAAACACCCTTCTCTTCTTTGCGAAGACACGCTGCTTCTATATCAAAAGACCAACTGATTGTTTTGAGACGTCCAGTTTGTCTTCCACGAGAAGACCGGGGACACTTCGTCGATGACCATATATGGGGAACACGTATGGCCTTCTATTTTATGGTCTTCGATATCAGAAAAACTTGTTTTCTTTTGTTAGAATTTTTCTGGTGTTTATGTCTCCTCAATGCTTGAATTTTAAAACATAGAATAAATAACAACTTCTCTCTCACCCAATCGATCCGTTTGTATGGTCATTGTTTGCTTCTCTTGATCATATTCCGAGTGAAGAATATGTCTTGTGGTCCAATGGGAGTAACGTAACTTCTTTGGTTCTTTCCTTGCAAATTTTTCCACTTTAACCTGAGACTCTGAACTTATATCCAATACGGAGACATCTGGTGGCTCCTGACCTGGAGATGGCTCAACAATTTGTACTTTACTTGTTTCACGCCGCAAATCTCGTTTACTTTCACTTGCGAGGGAAGACTTTAAATTTTCCTCCTTATGTTTGGCAGCTATACGTTTCGTTGCTTTTCCAATATTCTTTTCCATACTTATGGACCGTTGTAGTGTTGGGCGATCATATTTTTTGAAAAAATATTTCAAACGTTTATTTTGCCATTTCGTTTTGGATTTTATGGTTTTCAAATCTAAAATAAGTCGCGGTCGGTTTTTATATTTGGATTTTATGGAATTGAGTAGGCGAAGTAGTTCGAGAAAGGTTTTGGGTTCGTGACTTTGCTCATCGCTGTCATCTGGCAGATATTTGACAATCCGCAGCAATTCCTCCCTTGGATAAGTGGGATAAAGACGTTCGGGGTTGTTTTGCATAACGCTGTAGGAAAATTCTGTTTTCATTGCTTGCTTTTTGGCATTGCTTTTCTCCAGGGCCTCCTGCTGCTTCCTTAGCAGAGTTCCACCTTTGCTTTTGGGCTTTTTGCGAAATGCCTCCAATTCTTCCTCCCTCAATTCTTTGGGAAACTTAAAAGATGAAATAATTCGAGGCACACAATGCCTTTGCAAATGGCGAACTTGTGCCTTATTTAGAAGACAATTTATAAAGAAATCCTCCACATTCAAGGTGCCATCAGAGCTGCGAGCCCTGCGTGGAATATCGGCTTGGCTGATACGCAGCGACAGGGAAGATTGAAAGAAATTACCCTGGGAGAAACGGTGAGAGGCACCGAGACGTCGTAGTTTCAACATGGAATTTCCGGCCTCGCTGGCGTAGGAACGATTTAGGGGAAAAGATTCTGCCACAGGATGAGTTTGGATCCCAGTTAAGGATACTTTGGAAGGCAATTTTCTCGGACCCTTGGACTTTTTCATGGAACTGACCATGGGAGCTGGCACTACTTCTTCCTTCTCTTCCAAAATCTTTTCAATTATTTCATAATGACATGCCAATGGCTCACCCCAGTGGCATAGATATTCCGGCAATTTGAAAGTCAAAACAAACCAAGGGCACTCGGGATCCGTGGAAGATTTGGAAACATTCAAATTCTTATCCAACCTAGACATGCGACTCAGACTCAAATGGCTCATTAGGCGAGTTGTGCGCCTAGCCATAAATCTGGATGTTGGAGGTATGAACATATCTTCATCAATTTTCAATTTCCCCTCATTATAATGCCAGGTCATATTGAAACGCTCAAAATCCAAATCCACATGATTTGGTTTGCTGACATAGTACAGCTGATAGACTCCGCCCAATATGAAAAACTTTTTCAAATTTATCTACAAAGTAATAATTTAAAACATTTTTAAAACTTTGGAAATTCCAATGACATCAACTTCCAGCCCACCTCATCGCTATCCAAATCCAATGTTTCCGGATTATAGATGGTATTTATAAATGATTCATATTGTTTTTGTTCTTCTTCAAGAAAATCCGCATAGGTATCCGGAACTACGTCGGCCTCAATTATGGGCGGTTCTTTGGTGGGTTTAACAATTTTCGTTTTCTTTGACTTCTTACCATCGCCTTCATCGCTGGCTGCTTTCTTGCCCTTCTTTTTCGCTTGTTCTTCTTCATATTGCCGTAATTGTTCCTCATAGTCTAGTCGCTTTTGTATTAAATCTTCTCGTACGCGATTTTGTAAATCCAATTGCATCAGCCATTCATTGATTAGGCATTCATGCAGATCTTGAATTCCAGCATTTAAGTTGTCCACTGGCACTGTAATTAGCTGAGTAAAACTTTTGGCCTTTTCACTCAAATGATCGAAATTCATGCGAATGGCACGAATGGTAAGATTTTCCGACAACATAGTGGATGGGATGTGGAGTTGAAGTTGGATTTGATGGAAATTGGCCACCAGACGAGGTTCACTGGGAGGAAGATAAGAAGAGGATGATGTGAGGTCTTCTATTAGGGAGCCCCGAGAAAAGTCCGAGGTTTTCTATGAGAAAACTCCGAGGTCTTCCATGAGAAGACCCTGAGCCCTTCTATGACAAGACCCTGAGGCCTTCCATGACAAGATCATAAGGTCTTCTATGACAAGACCCTATGGTCTTCCTTAAGGCAATCCTAAGGTCTTCAACCTGAGAACGTATTTCTGGCCATCTGAATATATCACGATCTTCTGTTCTTCCATGAGACGATTTTCTGGTATTCTATGCTTTTCTATGAGGTCTTCTATGAGAAGACCCCGAAGTCTTCTTCAAGTAAACCATAAGGAGACCCTAAGGTCCTCTGTGAAACAACTTATATGATAAGATTCTAAGTCCCTAAATTTCTTTTTGAAGTTGACCCTGAGGCCTTATTAGAGTATACACTTAGGACTGGGTTTTTTTTTTTTCCTTTTTTGACCTTTTTGAGCAGAAGACCCTAAGGTCTTCTTCGATAAAACAATGGAGACTTCAACCAGAAGAACTGGAGCTATTCTTCGAGTACCCCCGAGGTCTGCCGGAAGACCCGGTGTTCTTCTAGGAGTAGACACTAGGGTCTTGTATGGGAAGATCCGGAGATCTTTTATGAGAACACTCTGAGGTCTTCTATGAGAGACCCTGAGCCCTTCTGTGACAAGACCCTTAGGCCTTCTAAGGACCCAGAAGACCCTAAGGTGTTCTTCGAAAAAACAATGGGGACTTCAACAAGAAGAACTGGAGCTATTCTTTGAGCACCCCTGAGGTCTGCCGGAAGACCCGATGTTCTTCTAGAAGTAGACACTAGGGTCTTGTATGAGAAGATCCGGAGATCTTTTATGAGAACACCCTGAGGTCTTATATGAGAGACCCTGAGCCCTTCTATGATAAGAACCTTAGGTCTTCTATGACAAGACCCTAAGGTCTTCTATGACAAGACCCTGAGGTTTTTTACGACAAGACCCTGAGGTTTTCTATGACAATACATTGAGGTAACATATCTGAGGCCTCCTTGAGGTAGCCCTGAGGTGTCCTTGGACTAGACCTTGAAGTCTTCTATAAGAAGACCTTGAACTTACGTGAGGGCTTATATGAAAAGATCCTGAGGTCTTCTATGAGAAGATTCTAAGGTCCCCTATTATAATATCCGAAGTTCTTATATGAGAGTATGCTGAGTTCTTCCATAAGAGGACCCTTACGTCTTCTATGCGAATGCCTTGAAGTATTCTATTAAAAAACCCTGAGCTCTTCTACGGGAAGATCCTTATGTCTTCCATGAGAAGAGTCCGATGTCTTCCATGCGAAGACACTGGGGTCTGCTATGAGATGACCCTGAGAAGACCGATGGGCCTTCTTGGGGTAGACCCTGAGGTCTTCATGAAGTAGACCCAAAAGTCTTCTATGAGAAGACCTTCACCTTACGTTAAGGGCTACTGGTCTTCTATAAGAAGACCTTATCCTTACGTGAAGAACTACTGGTCTTATCTGAGACGACATTCTGGTATTTTAAGAGACGACCTTTCGGTCTACTAAGAGATGACCTTATGGTCTTCAAGAAGACGACCGTATTGTCTTCTAGGAGATGGTCTCTTTATCTTGAAGGAGACAAACTTCTGATCTGCTAGGAGACAATTCTTTGATACGACTTTCTGGTATGTAGGAGACGAACTTCTCAGCTCTTCCATGGACCTCCTGATCTTCCCTAGTACGACGTTGCTGTATTCTGAGGATTTATATGAGGAAATTCGCCTTATACGAGAAGACTCTAACTTCTTCTACAAGAAAACAAAGAGTTTATACGAGAAGACTCTAACTTCGCCTTATACGAGAAAACTCTAACTTCTTCTACAAGAAAACAAAGAGTTTATATGAGTAGACACTAAGTTCTTATATGAGAGAACACCGAAGGTTTATATGAGCAGAACATGGGGTCTTCTATGAAAAGACCCTAAAATCTTCTAAAAAAGACCAAGAGGTCTTGTAAATAAAGACCAAGAAGTCTTCTACTAAAAGTCTTCTACGAAAATACCCTGAGGTTTTCAACTAGAAGACCCCAAGGTCTTGTCGGCAACTTACTCCAAATGTGAAATCCTTACAGGAACATTCTTCAAGGACCAAATATGCATTTGAAAATTATCACCAGAGAAGCAATATTCCATAGTTATGGGATCAACAGGACTACAAGAAATAAGTGAAATCTAATTTCAAAACACTTCCGAAATTTCCAACTCTCATCAAACTCACATCATGTACGCCTCCTCGCCGCACAGCACCCGATATGTATAACGATTGAAAAATTCCAAAATCTCGTCTTGGACAACAATTTTCAATTCCTTAATATCTTCCAAATTCGGCAGAGGACATTTAACCACCTCAACATCATTGGCCAAAAAATATTCAATACGACGTATAACGCTCAGACAATCATTGACATGACCATTATATTGTAGACCAAATTCCGGTTTTATGCGATGTTGCAAATGCGAGCGTGTTAGATTTTTACGAAATATATTTTGTGCCAAAATGCTACGTTCGTTGACGGCCAATGGCCAATCGATGTTCGCTTCGATATTTCGGGATTCGAAAAATTTTAATTTGGTAAAAAATAACCGCAAATCGGGTGGTAAATAGGGTTTGGGCAAGGGATTGCAGGTCAGGAAGTTATGCCATTTATCGGCAATTAGCTGCAGTTCATCTAATTTTTCCACCTGTATGAGGGCATCTGGAATTTTGCGGTTAGATAAAAATATTTCATTTCAAATTATTGGAGTTTTCTTGATTAAATCATCATCATACCGTCAATAAAATTGAGACAGACCCTTAAATCATTTAAACGATTGGAATATTTTTGCTCCCGTGCCTTCATTTCATCGAGTGTAATAAATTCGTATACTCTTTCCGGTGGTCCTTTAGGAGATTTCTGTTTTTTACCCTTTCTTGCTTTAGGAGGCATTTTCCTCAAACAATTTTGTTAAACCTTTTGCTTTTGTTAAAAATTTGAATTTTTTGTGAGAAAAATTGACAGGGGACATTTTTAGGTGTTGCCACATTTTGGTAGAGCACCAAAAAGCACTCCAGGGTTTAAATGTGAATAAATCTTTTGTGTCTCGTACCATCGCTCGTTAACGTGATACTGGTAGCGTAGCCCGACGGTAAGGAAGTGGGCGGAAGAAATCAGCAACATCAGCAAAATGTTTCGAAAAGCAACGAAGCGTCTTGAGCGTCGCAGTGGCCGAAAAATGGCTCGTGAGCTGAACATATCGCAATATTCCATTCGGCAAATATTAAAAAATGAGCTCGGGGTAAAGCCATTGAAATTCCAAAAAGTGCAAGAACTTACACCGCAACAGAAAGAAAATAGACTCAAAAGAGCTAAAGAGTTGCTTCGCTTGGCCGAAAGTGGTGAGCTGCCGATGACCGTGTTTACTTGCCAAAGAGGTCAGTTGAAAATGTGCACCTTCGGTTGGCCACCCGAACTCAAGCGCCGGCCATGGTGATGGTGTGGGCTGCCATAGCAGCCGATGGTCGCTCCCCGCTCCTATTAATAGACCGTGGTAACAGAATAAATGCGGAATATTATCGCGAAAATATTCGGGAGGCTGTATAAAGCCTAAAGGCTCGCAAACATTTTGACCGCGGACCTTAGACATTCCAACAGGACTCAGCACCATCGCTCTTAGCACGAATCGTAACAAAATGAGGTTCCTCGCTTCATTTCCAGCGCACAATGGCCACCAAAATCTCCGGATACCAATCCGTTGGACTATTGTGTTTGGAGTATTTTGGAAAGCAAGGTTGGCACTAATAAATACCAAAGTGTCGATTACCTCAAGCAAGCGCTTTGTCTGGAATGGGCCAAAATACCGCAGAGCAACATTCGGGCAGGGTGTGACGGTTTCATTGGCTGTTTGAAGACCATAATTCTTATCAAAGGTGACTAATTCGAACAAATCTAAACTTATTCAAGAATTTGATGGTATTTCCGAATTTTTTTTTGATTTTATTCAATAAAATTGCAAAAAAAAAAAAATGCAAAAATTATGGCGTTTGACTTTGTTGCAGTTTTTTTTTATCTCATCCTCTATACGGACAGGAACAGTAGTGGTCGAGACTTGGACTTCTATGATCTTCTATAAGAATATCTCCAGGTCTTCTATAAGAAGACCTCCAGGTCTTCTATAAGAAGACCTCCAGGTCTTCTATAAGAAGACCTCCAGGTCTTCTATAAGAAGACCTCCAGGTCTTCTATAAGAATACCTCCAGGTCTTCTATAAGAATACCTCCAGGTCTTCTATAAGAAGACCTCCAGGTCTTCTATAAGAAGACCTCCAGGTCTTCTATAAGTAGACCTCCAGGTCTTCTATAAGAAGAGCTCCAGGTCTTCTATAAGAAGACCTCCAGGTCTTCTATAAGAAGAGCTCCAGGTCTTCTGTAAGTAGACCTCCAGATCTTCTATAAGAAGACCTCCAGGTCTTCTATAAGAAGACCTCCAGGTCTTCTATAAGAAGACCTCCAGGTCTCCTATAAGAAGACCTCCAGGCCTTCTATAAGAAGACCTCCAGGTCTTCAATAAGAAGACCCCATGTGTTCTATGAGAAGACCACCAGGTCTTCTACGAGAAAACCATCAGCTCGTTTACGAGAAGATCTGTTCTGTAGAAAATTATAATTTTACAGCTGGCTTTGTTCCACAGTGGCCGTACAAATCCCACTTCGTCCTTTTATCAGAATTATAACTTTTTTCATAATTACTGAAAAAATTCTACTCACTGCATCTTTTTAATGATGTTTAGAAAACAAATAACGAACCCAAGAGTTTTTTCTTTAAGAAATTTCAGGGCAGTTGTTTGCTACATTTAAATATTGAATAACAAAATAAATACTGCACTTGAAACACTCCTAAACGAACCCTCAAATTAAAATTAGTGGTTGAAAAGGGTCACCTTATCGGCCGTACTTAATCTCCGCAGAACAAACCAAAGAAGAAAGAAAAAACAATTTAGTTGCGCACACACACACACACACAAAATTACTTACTTATGCCCTCAAGTGTTGCACCGTAGTCGCTCTGTCGGTTGTCCGCACATCTTGTCGGCGGTCATTAAGAAAGAATCTAAAGATTCTTATCAGGCAACTGAGAAAAAAAAATAAAACACATTGTCGAAAGAAACCATCTGCACACACTTGGACCGTTCTTAGACTTGGCTAGAGTTTCAAGTTGTGATTATTTGGTTTTGGGTGTTTCAAAAACATAATATATGACCTCAAGAAAAAAAAATATTTGAATAAATGCGTATATTTCTGAGTACTTTGTATGACTTATTCAATTTTATGTTTTTTTTTTTTCTAAAAAAAAATTAAAAATATCAATGTTTTAAACGCAAGATAATCTAAAATATAATATAAATCTGGAATTTTTTCATAAGCCCAAAACAAAACAATTACTATCAAGTGAAAGGTCGAGTCAAATGGTGTTGATGTAATGCATCAATTTTTTTTTAATTTTTGGGGAAGATAACACAAATCCAATGTAAGATCTTGACGTGAAAGATCAAAATTTTGTTTTTGGAAGCAAACAATCTTCCATTTCTTTTGGATTCTTATCATTAAAGCAGAGAAGTGTTACCATTAAATATTTTGTTTTTATAAGACACACACATTTTAAAGTTTCCTTTACCAAAAATGAACATTTTTAACTTTTCAATGTTTAAAAGAAAAATAAAAACCAAACAAAACGTAGAACCATGATTCTAGAAAAATTGTGGGCGTATTTGGTGTAATTAAAACCATTGTTGCATTCCCGTTTTTTTTTTTTTTTTTTTTTTTTTTTTGTATGAAACAAAATAAACATTACCTTTCTTTGTTTGGGATTGGGAGGAGTTGTTAAATGTTTCACTTGGCCGATAAGCTAAAGACACCCAGAAGAAAATGTTTGTTGAACTAAATGATCTGAAGATTAATTCTTATCAAGTTTGAAAATGAAAATTGCTGCTTAAATGATTTACATCATTACTGCATACGAAACACATGAGTCAATGACCTTTATTTAAATAATCCATATGATTTATATTTTCATATTATTTGGAAGCTTTAATAATATATATATATATTTTTTTTTTTTTTTTTTTGAAAGAAAATAAACATTTTCAGCCTTCCTTCTTCATAGAATTATTTTCAAAAGCTAATAATTTTATTTTTTGAAAGAAAAACATTTTCAGCCTTCCCTCCTCATAAAATTATTTTCCAAAGCTAAAATTAACTGTAGTGGTCCAATGTTTTCCACAGATAACGATTGGTTTGGAAGCCTGAACCTCATTGAAATTTATATTTTTCTCGATATTTTTATTTTATCAAAAATAAGTTTATATCAGAATATCAGCAGATTTCGTTATAAGGGGATTGCTAGAAATGGTAGACCTATACACCCAATTTTCTGTCATATAAGCAGTTACGTCCATGGTGCAACAAAAAGGTAAGGTAGACCTACCAGTTGTTTAAAATTTTCTCTAAGTGTGGCCGACAAGTTTGTGTATTTATTAATTGTTTTAAAAAAAAAAAAAAAAAAAAAAACAAAACATTTACAAAACTAGCAAAAATAGCTTTAATAGCCAGTTCTGCAATATATTTAAAATATCGAACTGCTTAATCATATTTTTAAAAGAAAATTCATTTTTCGCGCTACTTAAACTCATTGAAAAATTGAGGATAAATAGCGAATAAATGAAAATGCTTGTTGCATGCAAATTAACTTGTTGGAAATGGCCCAAGGGGTTGGTTTCTGTAGTTTTGCGAAGCTGTTCTACCTCCTTATTGTACCATGGTAACGTCTTGAAACAAAAAAAAAAACAAGTAAGCAAAGGCTATAGTCGTGCGGGGCCGACCATGTGATACCCTACAACACTACAATATGTTAGAGGCCCCCTTATGTCCAAATCCATTTTAGAAGATTTAGCTTTAAAAATTTATGTCACGAAGCACTGCCCAGATATTACCCTTAGCATTTTAACCAGGGACATTTGCCCAATATTTACGCACTCCGTTGGGCTGTTAGTTACAGCTAAATATAATCCAATGGTCATCCAAAATGCTAGAATTCTTTCATGTCCTTGGCTCTCCTCTCAGTGTCGATTGCCTTCAAAAAATCAGAAAAAAATTTCTGTTTTTGGTTCATTTGCACCCCTTAATATTTTGCGATCATCTCTAAAAGCAAGAGGCCCCTCTGTAGCTCCAAATGTACATTCACCTATATGATTTGCTTGTCTACGATAATTGGCTATACACGTCAACGAAATCAGCATAAAAATGCCAGAACGGCATTACATACACCTTTTGTGTATTTTGGATATCGCCTGCAAGTAAGGTTCTTATTTTTTTACACAAAAGTAGTGGTCTATTCTACCCGCTGTCCTAAACTCTAACTTCGTACGATATTTAGTGTCCTTTGTTTTCTATTTGTGACCTTTCTAACGGCTGCAAAATCAGGAACATTTTTAGTTGTTGGTCCATTTCAACCCCCTAATATATTGCGGACATTTTTGAAAACTTTAGACCTATCCCTTCTGAGCCCAACCCTACTCTTGTGAAAATTTTCGTGAGGATCGGACAATATTTGCAACATTTATATAATATCCCCAACCTGGGTTGTAAGGTGAAAAAAATATTACAAAATATTATAAGTCAAATTGAAAAAATCGCATGCGATAAAAAAATATGAAAAAAATATGTCACAAAATACTACAAAATCTATATTAACACCATTATTGGCATATTTTTCTTTAGATTTTTTACTTTTATGTCAAGGGGACATTCTGAATTGACAAAATTTGTCAAAATCGGTCCAGCCATTCTTGAGATATAAGCATTCTAACTAACATCCCCTTCTTTTGTATATACACATTGTATATATTTCGCTATATATAAACAATATATTTACTATCGACATCTTCGTAACGGTCAGAATTGACCTGTTCGTCTATTTGTGATTTCGCCGGGATTAAAAATATTCG